TAACAAGTAACAATACTCAATGTTCTAAAACAAATAAATTAATGTAAATATAATGTAATTTTAGCAATGGCAAATGGTCAGTGTTAAACCGACAAGCTCTAGTACAGCAATCCCCCCCCCCCCCCCACACACTCTCCCCACTCTCCCTCCCTCTATGTTATTTCTAACCCCTTCACACTCTTAATTCATTATATTATTAGGCAATCACTAGTCTAGATAAATAAATCTAAAAATATAACATTCACAAAAAAGAAAAGCAATCAGGATGACGTCATCAAATATTGATTGCCTTGCCTCGATTCTATTTCCTGTGCTAATTTTGATGAACAGCTTGGGCAAGTATTAAGGTAAGCTTCGTGTATTTTAGCAAATGTATAAAGATCTCGATTTAATGTGGAATATGAACACAATACATGAAATATTGATTCCTTTTGTCCAATACACCTAACAGACATTGAAATTATTAATATAACTGGCGTATAAAACGTTGCAGTGAGATACACATTTAGAGATAGATCTAGATCAAGAAGTATTTCATTCAATGAATAAATTCGAGTTATAAACTGTCAAATTGAAGTCAACTATTTATTGCAGATTTTTCAGATTTAAGCAAATATAAAGAAATAGTATGCAAACAAGTTATTTTTAGATAAAATTACTCACCTGAGATTGGTAAATATTTTTTCAAGAAGAAAAAGACGGCCTGTGAATTTTTATTATTTTCTCAAAAACACCTCGATCACAGCTGTCCGACCATTGTAAAAAAACGGAATCAAACTCGAATTGTGTGAGACGAAACACACCTATAGTCTGTTTCAGGTATGAATTTGGGTCAAAAGTGATCAAGCTAGAGAATGGCATATTAAAAGCTCAGATTTTATCTTTTGTGTAGATTCAATGGGGGTTATTTCACTTTGTATCAAAATCGATACAACATGAAATGAAGGGTTAAAGAAATAATAATAAACATAAACAATAATCACTCGATATTCAGGGGGTTCGAAGTGGTCGAGTCGGTACAGCTCATGGTTGCTAAACCGAAAAGTCTCGAGTTCGAACCCTCGGGCAGATGAGGCTCGTTAGCTGGGGACAGCCACTCTTCTAGGAGAGACAACTCCAAAATTAAACAACTGCTGCCTTGTAGTTTGTTCTTGGTTGGACAAAGGCTATGGAAGCAAATCCAAAAAGAAAAGCAGGCTGAAATTGGAGTCAATGGCCTCAATGGCACATACCCAGTTGACACGTAACGCTTAATTGTGTTGGAGGCGTGGTCGAGTCGGCAAAAAGCTCATGGTTGATAAATTCGAACAAAGTCTCGAGTTCAAACCCACTGGCAGATAAATCTCGATCCCCTTCAACACTAATAATTAAGAACGAATTTCTATAGACTACCACTCTCATGCGTGAAGCAAAATACCGAATCACAAAACGTGTGTTTACTTTCTCGTACACGAAGTATAGAGGAAGTATTGTAATCGTGCAAAAAAAAAAAAAAAAAAAAAAAAAAGAATAGATTTTTACAAATCTTGATGTTTTACACCTCTCTGAGTCGGAAAAACATAGTTTTGCAATTTTGTCCGTATGTTTGTGTTGTGTGTGTATGTGAGTCTTTGAATAAGATAACTTGAGTACCGTTACAGCTACGTTGATGAAATTGCATATATAAGTGTTATATCATATTTGTTGTTCTGTGTCAATTTTTCATCAATTTCCGGAAGTGGAACTTACTCTACTTTCAATTTTTCAAAAGCCTATAACTGTACACTGTTTATGATAGATAAAAGGAATTTCACATGTAAGTAAAAGATCTAATTGTCTGCCTTCTGTCGAATTTTGAGTCATTTCCGTTGAGCGGAAGTAGTAATTTACGCTATTTCCGATTTCTCAAAAAAAAAGAATATGAATTTATAAAGTACAAATAATACTCCGCATATTATACACCTATTGTTTGGCGTTCAATTGGTGCGCAATTCTTTTTTTCTCCGGGATTCTATTCCTTTTTTAAAAATTTAAGTAATTAAAATGGATTTAAAATATTGTCTAAATCCCGAGTTGCCATCCCCCATTGCTTTATATAAGAATATTCGAGAACGTTTAGGGGAGATCACTCCCGTTTTATTTATTGCACGATTACAATACTTCCTCTATACTTCGTATACGAAAAAGTAAAATACGCATGGAATGGGAAATAACTTAAATTTAAATTTAAAAAAAAACACACAAACTGTGCAAATACATTGTTTAATTGGATCTTTAAATTCGTTTAAAATATAGGTTAATTTTGTAAAATTAACAATATTTGTTACTTGAAATATTGACAAAAATTTATTATTTATTAAAATTATTATTTTTTATAATCTCTATTATAAAAGAAAAGACAATAAGAACACATATTATTAATTGGTATACATAAGATCACTAACTTTCTATTATGTCGTTGTTGAAAGTGTTATTGTTCAAATTTTGGATCCCCGTTCCGGGATAAGCTAGACAATAATCTAAGTTAGGGGTCTTCACTTGGTCCCTTGATGACAAGATGCGGCATACATCTCCTTGAACAAATATTAATAACGAGCCGACCCGCGGCGTATCACACGCCGCTATTTAGTTGTTTTATTTTCTACTTTCCAGTAATTCATAATTTGTGAAATCAACAGTACCAACGCTGCCACTGAAAATATTTGCTTTAAAACACTGACCCCCCCCCCCGTTTCTCCCAACTCCTACCTTACACCCCCCCCCATGAAATCAGCCTCCTCTTAGTTACCTCCTGTAAGTTTAAAATCGTTTCAAACTAAATTATCTGCCCCTAATAGCCGTCACTAAACCCGGCTCTACGATTTGTAAACATTTAGCGTGAACCACAGCTCACCAGACCATGTGGGGGTGGGGTGGGGTGGTAGTGATTTTGATAGAGAGGAAGAGAGGGGACTGCAAGGCGCTCTTGCAGCTTGTTTTCTAACGTCTCCCAGAAGAGAATTATATATATAGACTGTATAATTTCATTTCCAATGGACGATTGGATACAAGTTTACCCTGCGTTTATTAGGGTGAAATAAAAGCCTGATGAGAACCCAACGACATAATCGACCGATAAGCGATAGTCAAACCGATATCCAAGACAGTTTGAGTGAGTTTGCCGTGTTGATGCCCGCCTGGCTAATGGGAGACACCTCCTGAACTGGTGTTATGCGTAAATAAACAAAAGAAAATTAACATCCTCTAAAGTGGATTGGGATAGTATATTATTTGATTAATAATTTTATAATTCTGGCGAAACATGTGTATGTTTTTATACGAATTAATATTATTTCATATGTAAAAGCTATTTATTTTAAATAACAAATCATATTATTTACCTAATCCTAATCAGATACCAAATGTTGAAATAAAAATGTTAGTGGCTCTTTAAAAACTGGTAAATTTTATAAATTGTAACTTTTGGCTCTTCCGTCTCAAAAGGTTGCCGATCCCTGGTCTAGGTTGTCGAACGTTGATTTGAATGGGTATTGCTGACACACACACACACAAAAAAAAAAAAAACAAAAAAAAACGAAAAGTATCCAGATATTGTATTAAAGAAAAAAAATATATTGAATTACAGGGGAAAATCGTCAAAATTTCGTTTTTAACTGAAATTTATAAAACCCAAATTACCGTCCAGAAAAAAAAAATATTTCAAAACTTTCTGAAAAAAAATTGGCTTGTAGATATAAAGAAATAATGAGAAGGTTATGAATCTAGACGCCGGCCCTGCTGGGCATAAAGAAAAAAAAAAGTTATCTTTTTTTTTCTAGCAATGTTATGTATTAAGGCGCGATCATTAGTCTGTAGCAGGTACTTTTATGAGACGGAGTGGCATAGAGGTAGAGCGCTAGACTGATAACCTGAAATTCTCGAGTTCAATTTTGGGTTTAAGTCAGTACAACGTCCCCGAGTTAACCCAGCTCTGATGAGTACCTAACATAAATTAGGGGAATTAAAGGCGGCTTGACATAGTGCTGACTATTGCTTGCCTAATGGACCGTTAGGTTCGAAAAGGGAACTTTACTAAAATATCTATATTGTTCCTTATAGAGAAGTGGACAGATCAATTTAGTGGGTAAGCATACATTTTTAACATTGTCGTAGACGGGTCATGGTAAGTTTTGGTATAGGATCATGACTACGGTAGGGATATAGATACTACTAGTAGTTAGGGCTAGTCAAGGCTAGGGCAGAGGCGTAGAGACCCTTCCCGGCGTCCGGGGACAAACTTTTCGATTTGCACCCCCCCCCTCGAGATTTCGATTTGCACCCCCCTCAAACTTTCGATTTGCAACCCCCCCTCGACATTTTGATTTGCGCCCTGCACCCCCCCCCCCTCAAACTTTCAATTTGCACCCCCCTCAACCTTTCAATTTATTTTTCCAACCCATTTTGGCGCCCACTAAGCTCGGCGCCCGGGGACATATGTCCCCCCCCCGCCCCCCCCCCCCTCGCTACGCTACTGGGCTAGGGACTGATGACTCTGACATAGGTGAGAGGATTACTTTTAACATTAAGGTTTACTTTTGGCCTCGGTACGATTAATATCTAGGCGAGGGGGAGGATTACAGTTAACGTCTAATCCATGGGGAGGATTAATATTTTGGCTAGGGAGAAGATTATAGACGTCTGGACTAGGGAGATGATTATAGACGACTGGACTAGGGAGATGATTATAGACGTCTGGACTAGGGAGATGATTATAGACGTCTGGACTAGGGAGATGATTATAGACGTCTGGACTAGGGAGATGATTATAGACGTCTGGACTAGGGAGATGATTATAGACGTCTGGACTAGGGAGATGATTATAGACGTCTGGACTAGGGAGATGATTATAGACGTCTGGACTAGGGAGATGATTATAGACGTCTGGACTAGGGAGATGATTATAGACGTCTGGACTAGGGAGATGATTATAGACGACTGGACTAGGGAGAAGATTATAGACGACTGGACTAGGGAGATGATTATAGACGTCTGGACTAGGGAGATGATTATAGACGTCTGGACTAGGGAGATGATTATAGACGTCTGGACTAGGGAGATGATTATAGACGTCTGGACTAGGGAGATGATTATAGACGTCTGGACTAGGGAGATGATTATAGACGACTGGACTAGGGAGATGATTATAGACGACTGGACTAGGGAGATGATTATAGACGTCTGGACTAGGGAGATGATTATAGACGTCTGGACTAGGGAGATGATTATAGACGTCTGGACTAGGGAGATGATTATAGACGTCTGGACTAGGGAGATGATTATAGACGTCTGGACTAGGGAGATGATTATAGACGTCTGGACTAGGGAGATGATTATAGACGACTGGACTAGGGAGATGATTATAGACGTCTGGACTAGGGAGATGATTATAGACGTCTGGACTAGGGAGATGATTATAGACGACTGGACTAGGGAGATTATTATTGGACAGAGATTATTAATTGAGAGTTTTTGAATAGGAAATAACAGAACATATATGGCCTATGATTTACTAAGAACCCCTTTAATGCATTAAGCTTGACTATTTTTTAATCTTTACAATTTTTACTTATACAAAAGATACAAGTTATTTTTCTTCTGTATAACATTGGTCCATTTGATTTTAAAGGCCAAGGTTAAAAGTTCAAGCTTGCCGCTAAGGTCAAAGGTCGGGTCAGTATGATGCCTTATCGACATAAGGATTTTACGTGCGCGAGAGACAGACAGACAACAGGTTGTTTTTGTCGCAGTCATGCGTGAGTAGTTTTTTGTGCCACTATATGTCACCAAATTGTCATGTGTCACCATATTGTCATGTTTCACCAGACTGCTATGTTTCACCACATTGTAATGTGTCACCACATTGCCATGTATCACCAGACTGTCATGTGTCACCAGATTGTACTGTATCACCAGATTTGCTTGCCCCCATATTGTCATGTGTCACCAGACTGTCATGTGTCACTAAACTGTCATGTGTCACCAGACTGTCATGTGTCACCAGACTGTCATGTGTCACCATATTGTCATGTCTCACCAGACTGTCATGTGTCACCAGACTGTCAAGTGTCACCAGACTGTCATGTGTCACCAGACTGTCATGTGTCACCATATTGTCATGTCTCACCAGACTGTCATGTGTCACCAGACTGTCAAGTGTCACCAGACTGTCATGTGTCACCAGACTGTCATGTGTCACCAGACTGTCATGTGTCACCAGCTTGTCATGTGTTCCCATGCAGTACCAGTTCCCTTTGCGTCACGTTTAATCACCATGATGTGACATGTCTATATGTCTCAACATGATGTGTGAAGTATCATCTGGTACCCTCCACTAGTTCTAATGTCACCACGTATAACTCGGTTGTTCTTTGTCTAACGCACCATTATCTTCTAGCCCACCCACACCATCCACAATTCCTGATCCACCCATACCCCTTAACCCACCCACGTTACCCACACTACCCACACTACCCACACTACCCACACTACCCAACGAACCCAGAAACCCTAACCCACCCACAACCGCAAACCCACACACACCATCCACACTACCCAACCCAACCCAACCCATCCACACACCCTAACCCACCCACACCCCTAACCCATCCACACCACCCACAACATCCACACTACCCAACCCAACCCAACCCACCCACACACCCTAACCCACCCACACCCCTAACCCACCCACACACCCTAACCCACCCACACCCCTAACCCACCCACACCCCTAACCCATCCACACCACCCACAACATCCACACTACCCAACCCAACCCAACCCACCCACACACCCTAACCCACCCACACCCCTAACCCACCCACACCCCTAACCCATCCACACCACCCACAACATCCACACTACCCAACCCAACCCAACCCACCCACACACCCTAACCCACCCACACACCCTAACCCACCCACACACCCTAACCCACCCACACCCCTAACCCACCCACACCCCTAACCCATCCACACCACCCACAACATCCACACTACCCAACCCAACCCAACCCACCCACACCCCTAACCCACCCACACACCCTAACCCACCCACACCACCCACAACATCCACACTACCCAACCCACCCACACCCCTAACCCATCCACACCACCCACAACATCCACACTACCCAACCCAACCCAACCCACCCACACACCCTAACCCACCCACACCCCTAACCCATCCACACCACCCACAACATCCACACTACCCAACCCACCTACACCCCCTAAACCAGGGGTTCCCAACCCCGTGCTCACTATTCGACAGAGACAGAATTATTTTCATTAATATTATTTAAAGGTTGAAGGGGATGGAAATCGAAAGTTTGAGGGGGGGGATGGAAATCGAAAGTTTTGTACCCGGGTGACGGGGAGGGTCGCTACGCCTCTGGATGGAGTTTGTCTATTTAAAATAGGTAGTGCCGGCCACCCTACCGATATTTTAGAATGTGCTCTAGAGTAAGAAAAGGTTGGGAACCCCTGCCCTAAACCATCCTCACCACCCTCAACATCCACACTACCCAACCCACCCACATCCCCTAACCCACACACAACACCTAATCCCTCACCTCTCATCTCTTCAAAAATGACCCCCCCCCCCTCTACACACCCAACAACACAAATTTAACTGTCCTTTCATATTTGTATTTTAAATAATTAAATTTTAAATAATTACATTCCTCATCTCATCACAACCTACATCATAACATTTAAGACAAAACCCCACCCCACCCCTCAACACCTTTTCCTTACGTGCGTGACTCAATTACCAACAAACCCCTACCCCCGGACGACAACGCCTCTCAAATCCAGTAATTAGCGGACATAATTAATGACGCCCGTGATTCCATGACTCTGATCACCCCCCCCCCCCCCCCCCCCCCCCCCTCAGGAAGCCTCTTATGTACAGCAGCTACACGTGCGACTACGGCCAATGCTTCCAGTCACCACAGACCTGGAAAGCGTATTACAGAGAACAGAAGCGACGTCAGGGCGAGGAGTACAGGCGAAGGCTGATCTGGAAGCTGTCGCGCTTTCCGGAGTTTACCGACTGCTGCAACGCATGCGTGGAGGCGGAGAGTTATCCCGAACCGGCGGTGAAGCGCTGCGCGGAGAAAAAGAAGTGCCCGTCGGAATTTTCTCAGGTGCCGTGGCAAATTCAGCGCGCGCATGCTAACCAGTTTTATCAGTATTAGCGGGTTGTCGTGGGGGTTGGTGATGGTTGTCAATAAGTTTTATCAGTATTAGCGGGTTGTCGTGGGGGTTGGTATTAGTTGTCAACCAGTTGTATCAGGACTATATTATTATCGTTTTGTTTGATAAGGAAAATGGCAATTGTTATAACTGTATTAGTATCGCAGGATTATTGATGGCTTTTGTCACAGTGGTTGTCGTAATGTTATTGTGGTTGTTTTTCGAGAGGTTGATGTGTGGTTGTAGTGGATGGTTGTTGTAGGCATATAACCGTTGGTTGCTGCATAGTGGTTGTCGAGGTTGCTATCTAGTGGTAGCCGTGTAGTTGTCGTGGTTGCTACATAGTGGTAGCTTTGTGGTTGTCGTGCCGCTCTCGTATTTGGCTGACGTACTTTGTAAGAAGCCTCAAGATTTTCCACCAAAATAATATTTTTAAATGAAGATCGGCATGATAAAAAAACAACTATTGTCATCACTGCCTACAGTATTTCACCTGCAAGTTTCGCTATATACACGATACATCATGATACTAAGGTGTGTTTACTCGATCCTTAACATGAACGTTAACCCAGATCTTGACAATAATCAAACGTGATTCAACAACACCAAAGATGGGAACACACTGTTAAAAACTGTCACACGAACTACTGGCCTTTTTTTTTTAAATAATTTTTTAAACAAGTACGTAATTTAAAAAATAAATCGTGATGTACATATTTTTTTAAAGAGGAAATAAAACTTATCTAAATTTTTAAACATCTTTTTTTAATGACGATTTATGTCTATGTATACTTGTCTAGAATCTAACAAATAGTTTAAACGTTTCTATGTTTGTACCAAACAATTCGTAGTGTTACAGACGGAGTTTTAAAAAAAATTCTTTAACATTGTTTTGCGTTTTGCTGATTTGAACATATATATGATCATATGTATGAGTTTATAAGTTTTAACGGGTTCTAGAATGGATATTTAAAACAATCCTAAAATTGTAAGTTGTAAGTTGTATGCGAGAATTTTAAGTCAACGAAAGGTTAGTTAAGTCGAATATTCCCCACGGCAGTACAAACAAGTTAACTCTACTTCACCTGTTGAGCAGACATCATGGTGCTAATATTTTTTAGAAGTAGCCGAGAACGAAAATTTTAAATTCAAATGTATGCAATATTTATTGAAGCTGACGGAGTCCCGACGTGAAGAAATTCTTGTATCGTGACGGATTCTAGAGTTCGAAAACACTGGATTGGTAGGTAGGGGTGTTTGTAGGGGTGTGAAATGAGTGGGTAGTGGTACATTGAATTTACTGCTGGATATGTCATAACAATTAGCATCTTCGATACGGTGCGAATTATAAATAAAGTCGAGATAAGGTAATGCTTTACAAATAGTCACCACACAGTGTAGGGATTTTTAAAAATCCAACAGCTGTTGTGAAATAAAGGTCAAGGAAAAAAAAGTCACCGGAAAAAAACTCATACGAAATCTTTCACTGAAACTTCAGTTTGTTTTTCTAAATTTGTAAATTTGTGGGAATCTTAACAACCACAAAATAACAGGAGCTGAAATTTTTAAAAAATTTAACAAATGGTTTCACGTATGTCAGCAATCAAAGTTAAACAACGTTCACTACAGCCCAAAGAATAGGATCTAGACAAAAGTCGGATATGGTATTTAGGCTGAACTAGTAACATATAGTCCAAACATACACAATGGAATCCAGAAAAAAGGCCGACATGGTATAAAGGCTGTCATCGACACAACACTGCAAAAGTATGCAATGAGATTCATACAAAAGGCCGACAAACTTTTAAGGCCGACACAGCCACACCACTGTAACATTACAAACACGGCGGACATCTTATAAAAACAGCATAAACACGTCAATGCACAATTACAGATAGAGGAAGGGCAAGGTTGCTGAAGAAGACACCAATGGCCGAGACCATCCATCATTTAGTTGTCAATCTTAATTATATGCAAACTTATTTTCTTATAACAAACCAACTACATTATCTACGTTTATTAAATTCGGTAGTTGTTAGCGCAATTTCCATTCTGGAGAATTGCGTTTTTTAACTCGTCATTTCTGGGAATTGATGGATGAATGAATGAATGTATGGATGTATGAATGTGTGTCCGGGCTTTAAGTCGTATCTCCTCCTCAACGAAGCAATATCGATGACTAGTTCCAAAAGCAATTATGTTAAGCAAGTTACGAGGATGAACATAGGCCATAAAAATTCCGGGTTTCTTTCATGGATTTCCAGGAAAAGCCAAAAAACCTCGACAAAATGCAGTTTTTTGCCCATATCTCGGCAACCAGACCACTTAGCGATTTGAAACATGTACCAATCGATTCCTGCCATAATTTAGAACAATATTGCCGAAGAAAGTTTTCAAAAATATCCTCTCGTTCGGTCACAAATTTTAAAATTACATAAACACCTACAAACCGATCGTTCTTCTAGCTTGAACGCACCCTAGCAGTATACGTCAGAGCTATTTTTAGATAACATAAGGAAATTGCGCATAAATGTCACTAGACTTTTTTAATTAACTTGTTTTTACTAAAACCCCACTGTAGGCCTACGTACAAATATGAACACTTGATATATTAATCCTGGTATTAAAATAAATACTACTAAATTTAAGACGAACTTAATGTTAACAAATTTCAATTTCTGGGTTCTTAAATTTAGGGTCACTTAATAATACGTGTGTGAAACATGTAAATCATTGTTATCTCGCAAAACGTACTAGATCTGTGCAGAGGCGTAGCGAGGGGGGGGGGGGGGCGGGGGGTGGACATATGTCCCCGGGCGCCGACCTTAGGGGGGGGGGGGCGCCAAATTGAAAGTTTGAGGTGGGGGGTGCAAATGAAAAGTTCGAGGGGGGGGGGTTGCAAATCGAAAGTTTGTCCCCGGGCGCCGGGAAGGGTCGCTTCGCCCCTGGATCTGTGTCTTAAATGCTACATTTTGTAACGCATGCAGCGTCTTAATTTACTATAAATGAAAATTCAAATGCAAACTAAGCGAAGTAACCATATTAAATTGTTTAAAATGTGCATTGCCATTTACAATTCTTGAAGTAAGAAAATGAACAATAAACAATAAAACTGAAAAAGCAATACAAGTAATTGATTTTTAAAAAAAAACCGTAATAATTTACCTCAATGAACTTTTTAAAAAGATGATAGTAAAAAATGTCTATAAAACCGGTCTACACAAACTATACTGTAATAACAAACATTTTAAAAACATTTCTTCTGTTATGAGTAGAATTCAGAATGCTCATGTTTTGGATCAAAGTTTTTCAGAAGTTTTTTTCTTTCGGTTTTACGGATTGTGTTAGGGTTAGGATTAGGCTTAACCGAATGTCTCGAGTTGGGATTCTGGGATTAAGTCCGAAGGGCGTCTCTGAGTCCACCGAGCTCTAATAAGTACCTGACGCTAGTCAGAGAAAGTAAAGGTGGCAAGGAGTAGTGCTCAACATAATGTCTCTTCGAATACTGAGGTCACTGAAACAGATAAACTCTACTTTACCTGTACATCGACCGTAAAGTTTGAAAGAGTAATTTACTTTAGTGTTAAAATACGAAGGATTAGATATTGAGTTGATTTTGTAGTGTCAAACTTAATGGCAGTGTCAAGGTTTAGGATTAGGGGTCATCCATAAATGACGTCACGCTTTTTTTGACGATTTTTACCTCCCCCCTCCCCTCTGTCACACGTCACAAAAAGCCAGACCCCCCCCCCCCTAAAAGGACGTCACACCTCAACCTACAACCCCCCTCAAAATTGCAGTTGCATTTTTTTAAAACATCGATATTTTTCCAAAATCTTGTCTAAACTATTACAATTTATTTAAAAAGTTATCTAAAACGCGAAATAACGTATAAAATTCGTTTTCTTACATTGCTTTTTTATAATGCAAAAATGTGACGTCGCAACATCTGACCCCCCCCCCCCCTCCCCTTCATCACAAATCGTCACAAAATTACGGACCCCCCCCCCCCTCCCACTACGAGTGTGACGTCATTTATTGATGACCCCTTAGGCTAGTGATATTAAAACAAAAATAACTCCTGTACTTAAGAACTAACAACTAGAACTAAAACAAAATATAATCTATTTAACAGAAACACAAGTAAAGGAAACGTTTGAAAATCTGTTCTTAATTTTTCATCCATTACATAGATCTCTATTTCATCGCTTTACAAAAGTAGAACAATTTCCCTTTTTTGGGACAAAAATTATTGGAATAAAATGTTCGCATATTTATTCCACC